TTCTTTATACCCTGCGGGTTGGTCCACGTGAATGTCCTTTTCATTCAGATTGTAGTGATCGCGAATCGCTACTTTGGACGCCAGTCTTGTTTGGCAATCTAGAATCTAGATCAGCGGTTGCGTTTTAATTTAGGGATTTTGTGTGACTCACAAGTTTTTTTTTTTTTTTTGTGAAAACATGACTCACAAGTATAATCACAAATTTAGCTAAATCGTGGTTTTTGATAATTAAACTGACTGGTTTAATTTTTTTAATTTTCTAGTATGTTTTATCAACGTACAGTCTAATGCAATTGATTTAGTTTAGGAAAAAAATAAAAAAAACGTACAACCTAATGACTCTAATCATATTGTTCTTGCATCGCATCACATGCAAGGAGTAGTCACATATATAAACCGAGTATAGAGAATTATTATTTTTTTGGTGATTTTACAATGTTAATTGCCTTAAATTGGGCCAAAAGGAATTGTATTTATAGAAAAGCCCATGCAATAACAAATATTAGACCCAACTAATGTTTCATATATTTCGTTTAGTTTTCTACCAAGCCCATAACTTTTGGGAAAACGAGTGAAAATGTAAAATCTCTTTGAGCTTATTAATCCTTTTTTTTTAAGTGGCCAAAATTTATCTTATTGGGATGAGAGGTTAGTTTTTTTTGTCCCTTTTTTGGCAAATTTAATTTCCCTTCTTCAAATGACTCGGAATTCAATTTCAATTGAAAAAATTGCAAAAATGTCACTTTTTATGTGCACATTTGCAAAAATGCCACTTAAGAGTGTTCATTTGCAAAAATGCCACTAATTATAGATTTTTAAACTCTGTATCTTAAAATTTTAAACAAAAAAAATGTTTTGATCCCTAAACCCTCATAATTAAACCATAATATAACATAATTAACCCATAAAAAATAATTTTGAAAAAGTGGCATTTTTGTAAAGATTTCAAAAATGTGGCATTTTTGTAAAGTAGCACTTGAAAAGTGGCAATTTTTTGAAATTTCTCATTTCTTTCAATTTTGTAGGTGTAATTCATAAAGCCCTTAAAAAAAGCAAAAGACTGCAACAGATGAACCAAAATTAAGTACAAAATATCTCTTA